GAGTTGTAATCCTTATACATTCTCTCTCTCCTAAAGGAGCTCTTGTCGGGGTGCTTTATCACAACTGGAACAGAACTAGAAGAGGAGGGTGTCGGGATCCAAACCATGCCTTGTTCATGCCCCACCTCTGCCAGCACTGGGGCGGGAGTTGCATGAGGTGCCAATGACCAACAGAGTCTTGGTGGTGTTGCTGTCTGGCATGCAGCTGGCACTCAGTTAGTGGTTGCAGGACTCACTTGTCTCTGTCTGTCCTTTGGTCTCTGCCTCAGTCTCCTTTCTCTGACTCCTCTACTGACCATCCTCTCTTGCCTTTGTCTCCCCTCTGTAGGAGAGACCGGCCCTACAGCTTTGTCAGGCAGCGGAGGTTGGTGGTCCGGGTCCTGCACCTTCCTCCTCCTTTTCAGACCCTTCTTATGGGCGTCTATGGCTGCAGCTGCCCACTGCCAGCTCCACCTACTCGGACAAGAACCAAGCTCAGGCTCCCCAGATGACTGTCGGGAACTGGGGAATCACGTGAGCACACAAGTCAAGTCTCAGCCTCCAGAGCAGCCCTGTCGCCAGACACACACAGAGAATGTGATGTCATTCAAGATTCCTTTAGTACTCACAGCCCAGCTTCTTGCCTTTCCCCAGGGAGCCAATGTCCTAATTGTGGGGATTCATTCACTGCTTCCACCCCTCCAGGTATGACTGACAGTATCTGACTCCACTCCCACCTGCTCCTTTTCCTGACTTCTGTTTCCTTGTGCAACGAACCTGGTAAAGAGCCTGATGCATGCCAAACCCCATGCAGGTAACTGTTGGATGCCAGGTTCCCGTGCATGTAGCGCCCCACCCATCCTGCCTGTGTTCATCTGCCTGTGTTCCTTCCTGTGCCTCTCTGTTTTGCCGTATCCCCAGCCTTGAACACCAAGTTTTCACTTCTTGTACTCTTCCTCGCGGATGGGGACCATCCCATCCCTCACAACATCACAGCTTGCTCTCACTTCCCTCTTGACTCTCAGCAGGCCCAGGAATTGCTGAGTGTAGGGGCTAGGACTTGTCCTCAGAGACCTGATTAAAGTAGAGTCCCAGGGGCTGGGGAGATAAAGCAGTCAGTAAGTGCTTGCCTTACAAGCACTAGGACCTGGGTTCAAACCCCAGAACCCACATTAAAAACAAAACAAAACCAGTCAGGGTAATGTACTGTTGCAATCCCAGCACTAGAGAGACAGGGATTTGAAGATCCCTGGGACTCAGTGGCCAGCCAGCCTGGTCCATGTAGCAATCTCCTGGCCAATGAGAGATCTCCATCTCAAGGGGGAGGGTGGCAACAGCCAAGAAAACACTATACTAAGGTTGTCCTTTGGCTTCTGCGTGCATGTGCACATACCTGCATGCACACCTGTACACAAAAAGAGTGTTGTTCTGTGCAAACATCCTCTTCTGCCCTAAGTCACACATTCCTGGCTCCTTCCATCATGGTGCACACACCCAGCCCTTCCATCTGACCAGTCCACAGCAGCACATTAGGTGTCTCCCATATACCTGGTTCTGGGGGTGTCCAAATGAGCAAGAACAGAGAGAGTCCCTGCTCTCCTGGGTATTATAGTCTAGAATGAATGGCCAAGAGATAAAAATGAAAATATGATGAATCACCTGCTGAGACAAACGCTCCAAGGAAGAGGCGATTTATTTCATTTGTTTATTGTTTTGAGCCAGAGTCTCTCTACAGAGCCTTGGCTGTCCTGGAATTTACTAATGTAACCAGGCTGGCCTTGAACTCACAGAGATCTGCCCGCCTCTGCCTCCCAAGTGCTAGGATTAAAGGCGTGCGCCACCACATCGGGCAAAAAGCGGTGTTCTTTGTGAAAGATAAATGAAGGGCTTTGGACTGGTCTGATTGCCATGGGGGAAAGGACGTTTGTCTTACGCTGATGGATGGACATGTTTACCTGCAGGGAGGGAGCTCCCCCTACCCTGGAAAGAGGAACAAGCATCTGGAAATGGACACCTGGACCTCAGCCCCTTCAAAGCAGGGAACACATATCTACTACCCCAAACTGGGACTTTTTAAAAAGTGAAAACTGGAGCTGTTAATAATTATACTGTGCCACCAGCAGTCACGGGGAACCACCCTGCCCTGCCCTGGTGCCCTACCACCAGGCACATCATGGTTGTATTGACTAAAAGGGACTCCTCTTTGCCTCCTGTCTCTTTGGTCACAGACAGAACCTGAGGAGTGGGTTAGAGAAATGGCTCAGTGGTTAGGAGCACAGGCCTGCTGCTCTTCCAGTTCGATCCCCAGCACCCACAGGGTGGCTCACAACTGTCTGCAACTCCAGTTCGGAGGAGTCCGATACTCTCTTCTGAACTCCTTGGGCGCCAGCCATGTAAATGGTACACGAGACCTGCGTTCAAGCAACTACACACAATTAAATTAAAAACAAAACAAGAACATCTCCAATGCCCGTGGAAACTTCCCAAGTCCTAAGAGCTCATGTGCCCCCAGATAGGGAAACCAGGGTGCATTCCAAGAACGGGGCAGGCTGCAGTGCTATCATCTTCCGTGATCAGGAGACAGGGTCAGGGCTTGGGAGCTGATGTCAGGGAACCTGTGGAAGGGGCCTGAGTGGCTTCCAGCACCAGCTTTCAGGGCCTGTGGCTCTGGGCCTGGTGCACACACAGGTGGGCTCCCCAGGCTCTCCGTCTTCCCTGCAACCAAGTTCTGCCTGCTTCAAGGAAAGTGGGGAACTTGGGGAATCTTGTGGTTCCTTTGAGTTTCTTATCTCCTTGGTGATGAGGCATGGTTTGTTCTTAGGGTGTAAGTAGAGCCTCTTGGAGTGAGAAATGAGTGGTGTGTGCGACTCCTTCTGTCCCTCGGTCTGTTGGACTCTCAGACTATTAATACGAGCCACGTGTCTGGCTGCACCCCAAGCACAGGGCTCCCCACAGTAAAATGTCACGCCTCCCAGCTCAGCCTGTTGTTTGTTCTTCTGATTGGCGCCAGCCTCACAGACCCCATGGAGGTAGAATATAACTTGCCATAAATAAACTCTAACCTGACCTACAATTTAGCCCTTGGGTTGGTTTTTTTTTTTTTTTCTCTCTCTCTCTCTCTTCGTGGTAATGGGATCGTAGCCCAAGATGGTCTCTCCTACATCTCCAGTCCCAGAAAGCAAGTTCTAGGTGTGCTCAGGTTTGGGCATTACTTGGACTCTCTGGTCTCCCACATCCCTGGCATGTGGTGGGAACACAAGGCCATACTGAAGGATGGTGGATGAGCTCCCCTGCACCCACAGGTGGCTATGCACAGCCTCAGTGCCTTTGTGTGAGTGGGGTCTTTGCTCAGAGGGTCTAGAACCCCTTTTCCTTCAGACATACCTCTAGCAGCTCCCTCTTCTCTGTCCCTTCCCTAACCACTGTCCCCTGGGGTCACCATAAAGCTGATCGTTCCTGCCTGGCTCTGAATCACAGTAGTCCAGGCAGTCCAGGCTGATTCTTCCCCGGTGTGCCCACTGGACTCTGAGTGGGTGCCAGTACCAGGGACTGAGCTCCAGCTGGTTGTGGGGAAAACATTTTAATCCTGGGCACCCCAATCTACTCAGACTCAAGCACAAGCCTGCCTCCGGAGTCCCTGTCCTCACTCCCTGTGCCACACCACCTTGGGGGTGGGTCTGGCCAAGGTCTCCATTGCCTCCTTGCTCTGGGACATTCTTCAGGATGCCGGGATTCTCTGAAGGATTCTTCAGGGGGTCTGGAACCGCAGGGAGTCTGGCGACACTCAGTGATACCTGTCGAAGACTTGATGGTGATAATTCATTTTGGAGGATTTATTGGGAGTTAAAACAAAAACCAGTAGGGGCCGGGGACAGAGCTCAGTGGTAGAGAGTTTGCCTAGCATGTACAGAGTCCCGGGTTCAATTCCAGCATGTGCACACATAAATCAGGGACGGACACCTGCTTTAGGGATCGTGTTCCCCTGACACAAAGATGCACTTGACTTGATTTAAAGGGTTGGCGTTTCAAATCCTTTTTAAAAAAATCAGGTTGGGGGTAGGAGGGGAGATTGAGACAGGGCCTCATCTAGCCCTAGTTGGCCTTGAACTTCCAATTCTCTTGTTTTCACTCCCCCACCCCCATCTTTCAGGTGCCAGGCTTATGGTATGTACTGTCCCACTGGTCCCATTTCTTCTTATTACAACCAAAAAGTAGCTGCTGAGTCCCAGCATGCAACACTAGCAAGCATCTTCATGTTGAGAGAAGAGCCAGGCATCCCGCGGCCTTTTATTGGGGAGGTGTAAAATTCACATTTAGAAAAAGCTCGGCCCACTTCCCCACACACTGGTCCTCAGTCGTACTTGGATTTGCATCTGTCCCAGCATCAAGCAGGGCTTGGCCAGACTAGACAATGTCCCGTGAAATGAGTGCACAAGGGAAGAGCTGGAATTAGGATGTCTTATGGGGTGGGGCATCACGAGAGAGAGGGTGCATCAGACACCGGGACATTTCTGGAAGCTTCGGGGAGCAAGTGAAAAGTTCCATGAACCCTAAAGAAAGGGAGCAACTCAGGGGGCGGTGACAAAGGGAGCCGGCAAGCTAAAGAGGGAGGGATCAGCAGGGATCAGCAGTGATCAGCAGTGATCAGCAGGAATCAGCAGGGATCAGCAGGGCTTGGGAGAGTGGGAGATGAGGATCAAGGTGAACAAAGTCTTGATGCGAGAATGATCTGGGGCAAGGGGATTGATTTGGTGAAGCCCACACTTTGGGGAGACAGTTTGGAGGGCAGTCTGCGAAGAGGAGGCTGGCCCAGCAGGGGAATGAGGGCTAGGTTTGGAAAGGAAGGAATGAACATGACTTTTCAAAGCTAGCACGTAATTGCCACAAGGGCTACCAGAGAGTCGTCAAAGGTGTCTTCAAGGTTTGGGTCTTGTGATCAAGGGAAGGGTGTGAGATGACATTGTGTGTGGTTGACCAAAAAAAGAAATGAGACCGCATTCTCCTGGTCATAATTCATTGTCTTTATTAACAATGCCTCCGGTGGCCAAAAAAACACACTTGTGTTTCACAAAGCGCTATTAACACTGTCATTCTCTACAAGAAAAACGTTGGCATAAATAACTTAAATGAGAAAATAAATATGTCACTGAACTCTTTAAAAACCACGACTTCCATTCTTGTGGATGAGTCCCACATGGAGAGTTTGCCAAACCCACCAGGCTAGCCCCAGGGGCTTCCCTCCTCCCATGTGCTTCGGTTACAACATTCTTTTTTTCCCCCTCCCCTTTTAACAATTAAAATCTACACAGAAAGTAAGAGGTGTCTGGAAATGATTTACAAAAAGATTTGTGGGTGGCGGCTGTGGCGCCTCACAGCTTCTCAGCATATGTACAGCACTTGTTCCCCTCCCCCCCCCCACTACTTTTCATGTAAGATATGCCATCGCGAAGGAGAGCACGAAGAAGCTGTTTTCCTAGACAGAAATGTGTCCGTGGGTGGCAGGCGGGAGGAGTTGTCCTGGAAGAGACATCTTTGGTTGGAAGTGGCTGGCAAGCCCGGTTTCCCCCAAGGACCTTCAACTGCTGTGTAGAAAACCCCTTTAAAATGTGTCAAGGCAGTAGGGGCAGGAAAGTGAGCTTTGGGGAACAGGGGTGCGATTTCTGTCCCTGCCACCATCTCTGGGACCCAACCCCAGTTGAAGGCAAATTTGAGACGAAGGAGTGGGGGTAGCCAAACATCTGGGGAGGCCAGGCCGGGAATCAACAGCCCCTTCTAGGAAGTTGCCAACCAGAAATCTCTTTCCCTCTCTCTCTCTTTCCCTCGCTCACTCCCTGTCCCTTCCATCTGCCCATGTCCTTGGAATCTCAGCAGAGTCCTTGGAGAGTCTTACTCTCACCCTGACCCATATTTTACAAAGGAGACACTGAGATACCCAAAGAGAACCACGTAGCTCAACCTCACACTCAGTGGCCAAGCCAGGGCCAAAGACCCTATCTAGTCCCGTGTTCTTGCACACAGTGGGGTGGGGGTGGGGGAATCTTACTGTACTTCCGTAACCCGGTTCTTTCACACTCCCCTCCCTTCATGGTGAAAATGCTACCTTGTCCCATAGGGAACCAGCGAGTATAGGAGGGTCCTCTACCTCCCCGCCCCAGTACCCCCCGCTCCGGGCTGGACAGAGTGGCTCAGTGTCTATGACTCAGCTCCCTCTCCTGGCCTGCGGGAACCCCCGCAGCAGGCAGGAGGGCAAGGGGACTCTACGGGTTGGGGACTCCGCTCACGGGCCCGGAAGGTTTGGTGCCCCTGGCTTGGGCTGCAGGCTTTACAATGAAAACGAGTCGGATCGCTCGGGGGCTGCGTGGGCGCGGGAGCGCTCTAGTAGGCGTTCTCCAGCTCCGCCTGGTTGGCTTTGGCGCCCCGGGCGCGGGGCCGTGGCTTGCGACCCTTCTGCGGTCGCGCGGTCTCGGGCCCGAAGTCCTTGAGCTCCGACTGGTTGTGGAAGCGTGTGAGGCGCTTGCATTTGCAGGAGGCCACCAGACGCACCTTGCGCGCCCGCGGCGCCGCGCCACCGGGGCACAGCAGCTGCACCCGCTGAGCGCGGTAGCGGTCCGGGATGCAGCGGAAGTCGGGTCCGTTCGGGCGCCACCACTTCACGCGGCCGATGGCGTTGGGCAGCAGGCGCGCGGGGCCACACTGGCCCGAGCACACCAGCTCGGTGACCGGCTTGGCGCTGCGACACGGCCCGTCCGTCACGAAGCGGGTGTAGTGCAGCTCGCGGCAGCTGTATTCCGACGCGTCTGCGGAGAGAGGGAAGTGTGAGGGCGGCACCCTAGCCCAGGCTGGCCTGCTCCCGCCAGTCCTTCCTGCCTTTTCCAAACCTGCCGCTCTTCTGGCGCTTTGGCACCAATGCACGGATTATAGAAAGGAAGCACCAGGTACTTCTGGAGCTTGGGGCGGGGGGGGGGGGGGGGGGGGGCGGGGAAAAATCTCTCCCTGGCTGCTCTCTGTCCTTAGAACCCAGTGATCAAACACCAGCGCTCTATCATTTACATTCTTTGCGATCTGTGGGCAAGTAACTTGACGTCTCTCTTCCCCACATCTGTAAAATAAGTTGCCCCAGGATTCAATGACCTCAACCACTACGTGCGCGTTATACCCGGCACTATGTGGCACAGAGTCAGAGCTGGCAGTTTGTTCTTGTTTGGGGACTGAGTCTAATGTAGCCGGGGCTGGCCTCAAAACCGGCTGTGTAGTTGAGGATGATCTTGAATTTTTGCTCTCCCATCTTCACCTCCCCGGTGGTGGTTTACCGGCGTGGGCCACTCACTCTGTCTGGCTTATAAGGTACTAGGGATCCGGCCCTAGGGCTTCGTGCATACTAACCAAGCTCTCTTCTAATTTAGCTCCTTATCCCCAGCCCTGCCTAGCAGCCACTAGCCACACCTGGCTGGCTCTGGTCCCTTCTAAACTCCTGTACCAGCCACTGGGGCAGGGGAGGGGGTCCCAGGAGATGGAGAACCGAGTGGAGGTTAATTGAAGGTAATAAATCAGGACAGCTGCTATGGAGGAGCGGGTAGAAGGGCAGGTGGCGGGGATAAGAATTCATTAGACTTGAAAGCAACCAAAGGCAGCATTTCCAACCCCCTCATTATCACAGGTCCAGGCTGAGAAAAGAACTTGCCCCAAAGGCAGGGCTGGGCTTCCTGACACCCCTGCCCAGGACTCCAGCACCTTCTGGCTCCTGCAAGGGTGAAAATGATTTGTCAGAAGATCCCAGGCTGGGAGTGGGTGGGGGTAGAGGGCCACTCACTCTTTGCTAGCTACTTCCTTAGCAGAGGGGGTCAGAGTTCTGACCCCCAACCCTACAGCTTCTGCTCCCATAAGCATTTGTTTAACACCTGCCGCATACCAGGCTTTCTTGTTCAGTGGCTCGTCTGTAATCCAAGCCTGCGCTCCGGTGAGCGAAGTTGGGTCTGATGTCCCGGCCTCATCTATCTCATGCACACATCCAGGCTGTGTCTCCTGCTGTGAGCTTAGGTGGATGGGAGCTTTTAAGCTAGCTAATTCATATGCGAGTTCTGTCCACCCCGCAAAGTTTCACAGGGTCAGGGCTAATATGACACAAGGATTTAAAAAAAAAAAAAGTTCCAGGACCAAAGCCAGAGAGGGGCAGAGGCCAGGATCCACCTCCACCCCAGAGAGCAGGCACAGCAGGAGAGGTGTGTGTGTGTGTGTGCCTTGTCACCCTCCTGTGACTGGCTTTTTGGTTTCTGGGCTGATTTGACTTCCTCACCCCTGCAGAGGTGGTATGTGGAGGCGGTCTGTTTGCCCAGGGAAGGAGAAGTTTTGGGGCTTTCCAAGAATAGTGCCCGTAGGTCAGGCACTTCCTCTGCAAAACGTGACTGCCTTGCATGCTCCTTTGGGGTGGCCCTTTCCCCCACATCCCTTACTGGCTAGGAGACAGGAGACACAGAGTGTGGCGACAGCCTGGGAAGTGAGCTTCTTCTGTCCCACTCAGATGGTGACGAGCAGGCAGCAAGGAGCGTGTCCCTCCAGCTGCCACCACACCCCAGTCATTCCTGCCAGCTGTGCACCCGATCCCCCAGGCGTTTCTCTGTGCAGGCCTGCCTCCACAGGCTCTGTCCCCAGGAATGAGGCAAAGCTGGGGCCAGGGTGCAAGCAGAGGGCAGCCGGTGCCACCTGTGCCCAGACGGGGGATGGTCCACTCAACCGCCACTCAAGTCAGGGGCTAAAACTGTACCTAAAACCCTGCTCTCTGGTGTTAGCCCCCTGGGCTCAACAAGGAGAACTGAAGGGGTTCTTCCTGGCTTCAGGCTGCCACTCGGACCCAATCTAGGTTGCGCACAGCTGGATCAAAGCAGCTTCCAGTCTCAGCTCTTCTCACCCCCTTTATCTCACGAGCCTCGGTTTCCCCACCTTCAAGCTAGGGCTTTACCTCCTGGAGCGGCCATGTGGGATACAGTACAGCCACAGCCATCCAGCATCCATCAGGTGCCATTGCTACCAGCCTTACCTTGTCACCTGCCCACTGGTCCAGCTAGATCTGACCCCGGTGTCCTCCTTCTCAAGGAGATTCTTTGAGCCATCGTACAAGTCCCGTGCCCATGTTAATGTCAGCTTTGGCTGATCTCAGTCTCTCCCCTGCCTTGAATGCTCAGCCAGCCCCCCAAGCCTGTCCTCGGATTCTAACAACCATGCTAGCATTCTTCCAGGCAAGCCTGTCCCTCCCCTGGTGTGGCAGAGGCTAAGGATCTACCCAATCGTCAAGGCCTCCAAAGAGCAGATTCTAGAACTACCCCGGGTTCCTCCCAGGACCCCCATGCTAACAACTTATCTTCTCCATCCCATACCTTTGGTGTCATAGGGATGGTGGGGAGGTCTTCCTCCGTTCTCTGCCCGGTTCATGGTCTGGTTGTTCTCCAGTTCCTGGGGAGGCTCAGGGTACTCTCTGAGCCCAGGGATGATTTCTGTGGCATCATTCTTGAAGGCTTGCCACCCCTGGCCCTCCACAGCACGGAAGGCTGCATGAACAAGCAGACAGACAAGACACGGGGCTAGGGAGAGCTGCATGGTGCCAGATGGAGGGCAGTCCCTAGCACAGGCTCCAGTTCCCAGCCTAGATACAGTGGCCTTTTTAAAGCCCCCTCTGCCTCATGCCAGCCAATAAGGAGGGGCTGGAACAGGGCTGGTCCCATGTTTCCTCACCCCCCTCTCCAGGGGGAAAGGGGTGTGCTCAGAGTGAGCCCTCCCCAAGACTTCTCGAGCTCAGCAAACTTCCAAATTGCTGCTGGCACTCCCAGGTGACCCAAGGGGGGCGGTGAGGCAGGGACAGAGCTAGCTCTCCCAGAACCTCCCACGTTCAGACGGCTGTGGTTTTCAGATATCAAAATGAGCTTGGCTTTTAATTGTCTGGCTCCCTGGGCCCCTCAGGCATTCTCAAAACAAACTGTGGGCCAGCTTAACAAAGGAAACATGTGGGGCTCCGAGTTCCACAGAAGGCAGAGTCCAGCTGACCGAATTCCTCTAGCCAAGCTTCTTTGTCACCTCACCAGCTAATGGTCTTAATTAAAGGTGTTTTTACACCCCACTCCCACCCAGAAGCAGAAGGATGCCTTTTTTATTTGGGGGGGGGGGGGGGATTCTGGGGAATCCAACCTAGGGTCTCAGGCTTGCTATGCAAGCCCTGTACAGGGACGCTTTTAAAGAAACCCCATTGGCCTCAAGTCCATATGGCTCAACACTAACGATTCTGAGCAAAAAAAGTGTCTTGGCTTTCTCTTCAAAAATGGGGGGTGGGGGTAGTAGGGAGTCCAGAGCCACCGGCGAGAAGGTGGGTTTCTGGTGACAGGTTGAGGTAAGCAGGTCACCAAGGCTCTTGGAGATGGAGCACAAAGAGGAAATCTCATCTACTCTTTGGGACCTGGGATCTGTCACAGGTGATTTTTAGCCAGGGAACTCACTGTGGCTTGTAGGCTGGTGAGCCAAAGGTAGTTCCTTCCCTGGCCAGGTCTGAGGCAGGCAACATGGATTCCCATTTCTTAGCAAAAGCCAAGGTCAGTGCTTTTAGTGCTGATGTTTCCCCCATCATTTCTCAGCTTATTACATTTTCTGTGTACGTGTGTGTGTGTGTGTGTGTTATATGTGTGTACTTACAAGTCCCGTGTATACATGTGTGGGTTCATGCAAAGACCAGAGGAGGTGTGTTCTCCTCTGTCACTCTCCAAGTTATTCCCCGAGACAGGCTCTCTTACTGAGACATGTAGGTTAGGCTGGATAACTGGCTTGTGAGCTCCCATGATTCACCTGCCTCTACCCTCCTACCCCACCCCCGCAATCCTGGGGTTATAAGCACATATGGCCACTTTTCCACATGAGTGCTAGGGATTCGAACTCAGGTCTTCATGCTTGCACAACATGCACTCTTACTCACCAAGTCATCTCTCCAGCCTCTCATTATATTTTCATAAACAGCTCCGAGTCTTAGAGGAAAGACCCAAGGGACACATGTAACAGATGAGTTTCAGAAAGCCATCTCTGGTCCATCTAGGCCACTGGTTCTCAACCTTCCTAATGCTGTGGCCCTTTAAAACAGTTCCTCACGCTGTGGTCATCCCCAACCATAAAATTATTTTCATTGCTACTTTGTAACTGTAATTTTGACACTGTTATGAATCATAATGTAAACACCTGATATTTCCCATGGTCTTAGGGTCGATGAACCTTGTGAAAGGGTCATTCAACAACCCCCATGGGGTCATGACCCACAGGTTGAGAACCGTGGGTCTAGGCACAAAGACATCCAAAGGAGTTGCTGGCTCAGCCGGCCGTGACAGAAAGGGCCATGCCACTGGGAGAAGGAGGGGCGTGAGCAGGAGGGTTCACACCTGAGGCGCAAAAAAAGGAGGACCGGGCGGAAGCCTTCACTGAGATGGATTGTTGGAGGATGCCCCAGCCCCAGAGGAAGGCTGGAAAGACGGCTCCGGTCCACCTCCCGCCTTGGTATGTTAACTGTGCGATGAATCAGTGTCCCCCACCTACACAGCTTCTGCAGCGCTCTGCCACCTGCCTCGACTTGTAAGTGGCCTGTCCATCTGTGGCCGGCCGGCCGCCTGTGTGCGCCTTTTCATCTCCATCACCCACACATCACTGCAGCTGCCCTGACAGTTTTACAAGGCAGACAGAAGTCCCCTCAGGAAGGGCCCTCTCTGATACCTGCTTCCTAAGTCAGTTTCCTTCGGGGCAGACAAGAACAGCTGTGGCCATTGTTGGGGGGTGACCTATCTCTCACACCAGAGCTGTGGTGTTGTTAGAAGCTGCCCCCTCCTTTTGTCTGTGACCTCCAGCCTCCTTTTTCCCTGCTCTGGAATGTGGACTGTTAACCCTGTCCGGGCCAGAAAGCCAGCCTGTTGCTTCCTCCGGACTTGGGAGAGGGGCAGTTCCTGGGCAGGGGCTCTGTGAGCAAGCAGCGTGGTTCTCCGAGCACCACCTGCTGCCGGGAGATGAGAGCCGGCCGCCTGAAACAGAGCCGCCACCTGTCCTTGGAACACTTCCGCCACCTGCTGGACATAAGAGGGGAAACCCAGTGACCAGAGGGTGGCCGGGCTCGGGATTGAAGTGGTGTTAACAGGAAAAAGGGCGTATACAGAGAAACTGAGCTCCTTACGGGCCCCTCCCTCTGGATCATCCTCTGCCAACGGGCAGCCCTGCCCTTCACGGATGGCTCGGAGAACCTGCTGTGGTGGCTGCCTTCTGTCGTTTCCCTTGAGGTTAAGTCAGGGATGGGTGTATTTACTCAACACAAAACCTTATCATCTCTCAAGGTTAAGCAATAAATAGTCTTGGGGTCAAACCTCAGGTCTCAGTGGGTGCCTGTTGACTGCAGTTCAGGGTCTTTCTTCTTTCTTTCATCTGTCTGTCTGTCTGTCTTTGTTTTTCAAGACAGGGTTTCTCTGTGCAGCCCTGGCTGTCCTGGACCTCACTCTGTAGACCAGGCTGGCCTCAAACTCAGAGCTCCACCTGCCTCTGCCTCCCCAGTGTGCTGATTAAAGGGTCTTTCTGACCTCTTGTTCTCAGCAAGACTGCTGCAAACATTCTTGTGTGGTGTGATGGGTTTGTTGTGTAGTTTGTGAGATGGCCTTGCTGTGTGTGTAACCCAGGCTACCTTCAAATCCCCGGTCCCCCTGCTTCAGCTTCCCAATGCTGTAGTGACAGGTGCATACCGCCACATCTGGAGAGTTTCTTTAATTACTCTTGTAAGTTTGAGATCGTTGTAAGTTGACAAGGACTTGAAATAATTCAGAGGGACTTTATGTCTTCTCTGCCCATTTCCCTCCATGATAACAGCTCACGAAAGGAGCCGGTTCAGGCGCCACAACCAGGACACACCAGTCTCCCATCCTCCCTGATTTACACGTGCTCACGCCCATGTGCACCTACTTGTGGCACATGCTCGTGTATTTGCTTCTTTTTTAAAAAATTATTTTACCTTATCTATGAGTGCTCTGCCTGCATGTATGCCTGCAGGCCAGAAAAGGACATCCGATCCCATTATTGATGGTTGTAAGCCACCATGTGGGTGCTGGGAATTGAACTCAGGACCTCTGGAAGAGCAGCCAGTGCTCTTAACCGCTGAGCCAGCTTCCCAGCTCCACTCACATATTTACTTCTGTGCAATTCATCACATGAGATTTGCCTATTCACCACCACAATTAAGATGAAGAACAGCTCCATGGCCCCAAGGATCTGACCTAATGTTCTTTCATCACTTATTAATTTTTTTGAAACAGTGTCTCATGTACCATAGGTTAGTTGAGGCTAACCTTGAACTCCAGATCCACCTCCCAGGTGTTGAGATTACAGGTTCATGCCATCACAGCCTGCTCTGTCGCTTTTACAGAGACGTCCACCCGCCTCCCTCACCCTCCTTCTTCCAGGCCCAACTCATGGCAACCACCAATCCAACCTTGATTTCCATAGTTTTTCAATTAAAAGATGTGATGCAGCCAGGTGGTGGTGGCACACACCTTTAATCCCAGCACTCTGGAGGCAGAGGCAGGCGGATCTCTGTGAGATCTAGTCTACAGAGCAAGTTCCAGGACAGCCAGGGCTACATTGAGAAACCCTGTCTCCAACAACAACAACAACAAAACAACATATTATGCAGATGCAACCAATGCATGTCACTGGTGTGTAATTTCACTCAACGCAATTCCCTGGAGTTATCTAGTGTATGGGTACAATGACAGGCACGTGTCCTTCATTAGTCCTACAAAGAATTTTCATTGCCCAAGTTCCCTGTGTTCCCCCTCCTCACCCCTCTCCTCCCATCCCAACTCGTAGCACACACTGAGTTCTTTTCTGTCTCCATAGGCCTTACGTTAGCCAGAACACCATCAGCTGGTCTTACACAGCAGGGCAGCTTTCCATGTTGGTACCTCCAACAGCTAAGTTTTAGGTGTTTTTTAAAAAGACTTTTTTTGTTTTGTTTTGTTTTGTTTTTCGAGACAGGGCTTCTCTGTGTAGCTTTGCACCTTTCCTGGATCTCACTCCGTAGCCCAGGCTGGCCTCGAACTCACAGAGATCCGCCTGGCTCTGCCTCCCGAGTGCTGGAATTAAAGGCGTGTGCCACCACCATTTTATTTTAATTTTAATTATGTGTACATCTGTATGTGGGTGTGTGCTTCTAAGTGCAGGTGCCTGTGGAGGCCAGAAGTACCGGATCTTCTGGACCTATAGTTGTAAGTCGTTAGTGAGCCACCCAACATGGGTGCTGGGAACCAAACTCAGGTCCTATACAAGAGCAGTATGAATTCTTAACTGGAGTCACCTCTCCCAACCCCCTAGGTTATTATTTTTAAATGTTAGAAAAAGGCTGTACAGGTATGGTTGGCATGTGCCTTTAATCCTAGCACTTGGAAGCAGAGGGCAGGGAATCAGGAGTTCAAGGCAGTCTTGGCTACAGATGGAGTTTGAGGCCAGGCTGGGCTACATTGAGAACCTACCTCAAAAACAACAGCACCACCACTTTTTAAGTTAGAAAAAGCAAACATAAAAAAACCCAGACCTATAGGAGGAAACACACCCCAAACAGACCTCTTTGTAAGATAAGACATTTATTTTGGTTACAATTTGATAGTGTGTTAACACTGGTGGTACAATACACATTAAACTTTCCTTTTCCCCCCAATGGCAGGAATCGAACTCAGGAAGGCAGGTGACAGTGCTCTGCCTCGCCCCACCACCCCTTCCCCTGAACCTTTTCTGTCCAGTAAATCACTCTTATTCAAGTTACCCGAACAGCTGAGGACGTTAGAGAAACACAAGCTAAACATTCGCCACTCTTCTCCCTACCCTGAGACTCCCTCTGTTTACAGTCGGGATAGAATCTTGATCTGGAAGGACCATCTGATCCCACTATTATGAAAAAGAAAGTGTTCTGTGAGGAAAGCTCTTATCTTCATATTTAAGATCAGTGCTTATTTTGATTAAAGCATTGAGAGCATCTTCATACTACAAGCATCTTAAGGTGAACTTGCGGCTGGAAAGGCACCAGCCTTCTCAACAGCGCCGCCTGCTGGCCACGGCATCATCACTCATGCCCATTTCCTGGGGGGTCGGGGGAGGTGTTAAAAAACCAACAGGGGGGCTGGAGAGATGGCTCAGCGGTTAAGAGCACTGGCTGTTCTTCCAGAGGTCCTGAGTTCAATTCCCAGCAACCACATGGTGGCTCACAACCATCTGTAATGAGATCTGGTGCCCTCTTCTGGCCTGCAGGCGTACACGCAGGCAGAACATTGTATACATAATTAATAAATAAATCTTAAAAAAAAAAAAAAAAAAAAACCAACAGGGGATTCTTAAAACAGCCTCCCGAGTTGGAGCCCAAAAGAGCCTTAGTGTGGGCCAAAGGAGTTCCCTCGCTTGGTAACTGTTGGTCTATGCTCTCAAGAAAGTAGAATGGCAGAGGGGAACAGCCTGCCTCTGGGAAGGCAGCCGGCCTACTTGAAGACTGAGGAGGAAACCATTTTACATTTTAATTTTAACCTGGATTTTTCTGAGTCAAAGAAAGTGATCAGGTCCGGGGAAGAGGAAAGGACATCCTGAATTCTTTATTCCATCACTTTCCAGGGATAGAACACCATCCAGGAATGGCCCCCACTCGAGGGCATGCATGTGGCGGCTCTTCGACAACACACGGCTATTCTAGCTGAAGAAGTAGGAGCTAACCTCTGAACACGGGGTAAAGCCAACCCAGAAACCCTCAACTTTCAGCAAAGAGCCCCAAAGGAAAGGCAGGAATCTCCTAAGGGCCCCTTTTCCTCATTTTTCCACAAAGGCTGCCAGGAGTAAACAGCAGTGGGCTGTCCTGTGGGGTTGTCACCCAGATGAGGCAGGAGGAGGAGAACCCAGACTCTCCCAGAGCAGAGTTCATCCTCACACGTGTCACCTAACTGACTGGGGACCCACTTTTAACTTCCTTTTCTGGGGATGGCTCAAAGACATGCACAGGGTGCTTGGACATCACTGGGAGCTGGTCTCAGAGGCATTAGAGCCAAGAACAGCCCAGCTTCCTTAAACAGCAAGTCTGAAACTACTTCCACTTAGCTTTAAAGTGCTGGGTGACCCTTAATTATGCGATTTTTTTTGGTTTTGAAACACAGGATCTTGCTATTGTAGCCTAGAGTCTCAACATGGAGACCATACTGGCATCGAACTTGCAGTGATCCCCCTGCCTCTGCCTCCCATGAACTGAGACTGTAGACACATGCTAGCATGCCCTGCTATCCCAGGTCGTTTTTGTTTGTTTGTTTTTTTTCTCTCTCTCATGACGACACACAGGTAAGTTCTGTCAGCTTTACCGGGTTATCATGAAGTGCAATCAGATGAAGCAAGAAAGCCACTTGAAAACTACGGAGTGAGGTACACAGTTTGGCTGTGGCCACTTCATTCTGGAAAGAAGAGGACGGGTTCCATGTGTCCGGGGCTGCTGTGGTCACATAGGATAGGGGACAATGACCATCCAGGCTGCACAGTTCTGCCCCTGCTGTCATCAGAGGTCTTTACTCCAGGAGTCAGGGCCTAAAATGCACCTGCTTCTCCAGGCTCCTGCCAGACACTCCTCAGCAGTTCTGAAAAAGGCACATTCCCCACCTTCACAGTCAACACGGCCGAGGTTCCCATTTAAAGCTGAATTTGAAACATTCAACAAAAATCCCTGACATTTCTCTCCCTCCAAGTAAGATTTCTTGGCAAACTCCGGCAAGACATCCTACAAGCAGGCATACAGGCTGCTGGGACCCAGGTGCCCCGTGACAACAACACTCCATACACACAACACTCCAGACACACTGGGCAGCCCCACAGCTCCAGGTCGCCTAGAAATAGGCTTTTAAAAGATGCCTATGCGCTAGGTGCTGGGGTGGTGGCTGAGTGCCACCCCTCTGCTCTGTGTGACCCTGGGATACACACAGAGCAACAAGAACAAGTCCCAAGAAGACCGTGTTCACTCTCTGGCAAATGTGTACACACATAAGGTCCAGCATGTTTCCAAACCATCCTTACAAAGTCCTTTACAAGGTCATTCTTTGTTTGTTCTCTCTCCAATAAAGGAGAGATCGGCCGGCATGACACAGCGAGTCTCGTTTCTGCCCAGAGAGTCACTCCATCAGAACCACCCATAAATGGGCAGGGTGAGCACAGGGACTCTTCATTCCCCCTCTGTCCCTGAGGGGACAGCACCCCCACCCACCACCACTTCACACCCATGCACACACCCATGCACATGAGCTATAATTGGGCAACTTCCTCCTTCCAGTCTTAGAATAGCAACCAGGATGAAAAGCAGTTAGTATGATCGCTTGGGCTCACCCACACTATAATTCAGGATAAAACCCTTGCAATTCTCCAAATGGTGGGTTTGTTTTTTTTGTTTTTTGTTGTTGTTTTTTTTTTAATAGGCCGGACCTCAACACCCTGTATTTTAAAAAAAGAGAAATAAAACCCTGCCCAAGGCATCGCTCTTCTAACAAGCAAAAGAACAGAGCCATCCACAGAGAAGGCACCAAAGCAGCAGATATGGAACGTAAGATCCCCAAAGAGGCATACTCTAAACATCCCAAAGAATCGGGACAGCCCTCCGGGAAAAACAGATCTGCCTAACCAAGGGCCCCCATATAATATCTTTAATTCTAAGGAAATAATTAAAACGCAGCCTCTTTGTGGAAATTCGGCTACTAATAACCCATCTCCACCCTGCTTTGGAACTCATGTCATGCCTCTGCCTAAGAGGGTGTGGCGGGCTGTGAGGACCAGTGACTGACAGACGTGGGCAGAGCAGAGCCTGTGTTTGCATAGATCCTTTACCAGGGTCACCATGCTAGACCACTCAGGGGGAACCCAGGTGGGGGAGGGGGGCCATGAGGAGCGCCTGTGAGCGTCTTGGGGCCTTACACCCTCACAGGCCTCCTGCCCTGGGTCACTGAGACGTGTCTATGCCACAGGCTTCCTCCCTGAGCCCCCACCTCAGAGAAAGGACATAGACTACAGGAAAGGACAGCCAAGGAGCAAGAATGGCCTCCTTAGCAAGCTTCTTCATGTGCTCCCTAAGGGTGGAGCAGCCCCGGGCCACAACGGGACAGACATATGGGCAGGTGCCTTGTGACACTGGGAACAGGGTACACTGTGTGTCCTAAGCATGGCAGTCAGACCTCAGCAGAAGGGGCTGTGGGCACCCTAGAGTTTCACCTTCCCCTCCTTGACTAGCCTATCATTGAGCTGGCAGAGTTGGGCCAGGAAACCGTCATTGGGGCCGATCTCACGATTCTGCCTCACGATGCTGAGAGCAGATTTGACGTCCATCTTCTGCCGCATCATGAGGTAGGCGATGACGAGCGTTGGGGAGCGGCTGTACCCCTCACGGCAGTGGACAAGCACCCGGCCTGCGAGAAACGGGGGAGATGCGGTAACTGGGGAAGCCCAAACTCACGGCAGTCCTGAAATTCTCCCATCCAACCAGTAGAGAGCGTATGGCCATGCCACCGTGTCCCACCCTGAATGGCCACAATAATGAAAGACCCAATGTCTGATCAGGGACAGAAGTGAAGCAACCAGGACCCTTCCCTATCACTAGGGAAGGCAGGGTGTGAAGCGGCCCCTCCGCCGTGGAAAACCGGCAACATCTACTCAAGTTGGACACCTGTGCCCCCTACTGCCCAGCAGTGGTACTCCAACCCAGACACCTTCGCCGAAAGATAGCCCTCGGTGTTCTTACATCTTAGAACCACTACTTAGCCCCCAGGTGGAAATTCCCAAGACTATCGACAGTAGAATGGGTAAATAATGAGTCTTTTTAAAAAGAATTAATGATCGAGGTAGGGCCAGTGAGAGGGCTCAGTGGGTAGAGGGGCTTGATGTCAAACTAATGACTTGAGTTCAAACCCTGGAATCCACATGGTAGAGAGAACTTTCTGTAAGTTGTTCTGACTTACACACACATGCCCAGTACAGTCACCCCTTCACCCCCATGTATATGCATATATGTGTGTGTTAAATAAATAACAAAAAATTAATGATCTAGTCAGATGTGGTGGAACACATCTGTAATCCAGTACTGTAAGAGGCTGAGGCAGGAGAGTCACAGGAAGTTCAAAGTCATCTTAGGCTATAGAATGAGACTCTGACTCAAAAAAAAAAAAGAGATGGCCCAGTAGGCAAAGGCATTTGCTGCCAAAGCCTGATGACCAGAGTTCAATCCCTGGGACCCACATGATTGGGGAAAAGAAGTGACCCTTGCACATTGCACTCTGATGTCCAACCATACACTGTAGCATGCATGCACGTGCACAGACACACAGACACACAGACACACACACACACACACACACACACACACACACACACACACACACACACTAAATATGCAACCCACCAGAAGGAACATGTATGAAGCACAAAAATGTAATAGGGTTCCACAGAACAGAAGAGAGGCCCAACTAAACCATGCTCTTAGAAGCCTGAACAGTGGAAACCTGGGGAGCACAGAGACGGGAGGGAGCACGGAGACGGGAGGGAGCACAGAGCAGGCTTTCTGCGGTGCTGGTTGTGTCCTGTTTCTTGATCTGGGGGTTGGTACACGGGCGTCTGTCATTCACTGAGCTGCATACTCTGTGACATCGGACTTCTCTATAGGAAACCAGGTATGGCGCCACATGCCTGGAATCCTAGCACTCAGGAGGCTGAGGCAGGAGGATGGCATGACTCTGTTTTAGAACAAAACAATGTACACAATTAGATAAATAAGGTATGCCATGTGTGTCCATACAATGTGACACTTGTCAGGAGGCACTGGGAGAAATGACTCAGCAGTTAAAAGCATTTGTTTTAGATCCAAGTTTGGTTCCCAACACCCATATCAGGCAGCTCATAGCCACCTGTAACTCCAACTCCAAGGGAGTCCAAGACTTTTTCCGGCCTCCATGGATACCTGCACACATGTGGTAAATACACTCCCACAAATAAATAAAAATAAAAATATGCTTTAAAAACAACATTCTATAGGTGTATGTAACAGCACAGACAAACTCAAACATTCAGAGTGAAAGAGACCAAACCAAAAAAGAGTGCATGCTGTGTGATTCTGTGGACATAAAAATCTGTGGAATGCACACTGGTCTCTGGTGACAGAAAGCACACCCAGTGGTGCTTGTGAACAGAAGGTGGAAGGGACAGGAGACAGTGCACAGGGTGACGAAAACTGAGGGGGTGATGGACACATTCGCTCTCTTGGTTGTGGGGACAGCTTGACGGCTTTGCTTATGTCAAAATGTTAATGACGGTCGCGTTAAATACATACATACACTTTCCTGAATGCCAACTATATCTCTGCAAAGCACATTTTAAAAGAATGGATTTCAGGGCTGGAGAGATGACTCATCAGTCACCAGCACTTCCTGCTCTTGCATAGGTCCTAGGTTTGGTTCCCAGCAAACATGTTAGCTCACAACCATCTGTAACTGCAGTTCCAGGGGACAGATGCCCTCTTCTGGCTTCTGAGAGCTCCTACACACACACACACACACACACACACACACACACACACACACACACACCACACAGTGCCGATAAGCTCATGCAGGCACACGCATGTAAAAAGAAATATTTTTAAAAAGAATGAATTTCCAATACAAATACAAACAACGCATACACACACACGCCCTCTTGTGGCTCCCCCAAATTGCCCTCAGTCTGTTATCCCATCCTCCTCTTTCCCAGCATTCCCCTTTGCCCTCAGCCTCTCCTGCCTGCTTCCTGCAGACTCTACGCCATTCCCATGGCCACACTCATGTCTTTTGTTTCTGTCTGCTTCATTCTTTCATCACCAGTGAAATGTAAACTCAGAATTCCTCAGGGCAAGGAAAGCAATGAGGGGGGGGGAAGGTCATTGGCAGGAAAGTCCCATCACGTTGCAGGGAGCCCCCCCCCCAGGAGGGGCCAAAGCCCAGCTTCTCTCTTTAGCAGGCTCCCCACACAGTGCTCAACTCACACGCTTGCCGTCTCTCATGTGTGCCTCCCCAGCCTCTCCTCCTACAAATGGAGCTCACCCTCAACCCTCGCCACTCACTGCCAATCCACACGCACTCCTCCCGGAAGCTAGAAAATCTTCCACAAACACCACTCTGACTTGTCATCATCCGCAGGACGGAAGCTAGTCTCGGAAGTGTGGCTTCTGAGGCCCACTGCCATCCCCACCCCTGGGGGTGAGTTCCAAGATTGTCAGGGTACATAGCAAGACTCTGTCTCAAAGACAAAACAAAACAAAGGCAGAGACAAAGCCCCAGCCTAGTGCCTGGCACACAAGAGCACTCAATAAACATCACCAGTACTGGGAGTCCCCCAGGGGCCCCAAGCACCTGTGACTCTGCTGGCCACATACAGATCCCCTCTCCTTCTGAAGGGTGCATTCTTCCAAATCAAGGGTTGTGGTACTGGGTTTTGGATGCTCTGCCATTTCCAGCATCCCTGAGCATCCTCTGTTGCTGAGTGAGTGAATGGCCATCATCTACACCTCCTCACAGGCGTTATTTGGAAGGAAACTTTGGACCCAGAATTAACAGCATCTTCTCTGCACCCATCACGCTTACCCCCAATTGCTCCTCTATTTCCCGAGGTCCTCCTACATCAGGAGATGGGAGTCCCCCCACGTTCCTGCCTCTCTTTCTCCCTCTCTTTCTCTCTCTCTCTCTCTCTCTCTCTCTCTCTCTCTCTCTCTCTCTCTCTCTCATTATGTGTGTGATATGCCTGAGTGTGTATGCCTGTTCACATATGTGTGAGTGCATATATGTGTCCATATATGCATGTGGAGGCTCAAGGTTGAAATCTAGTGTCTTCTTCAAATATTTATTCTCTCTCTTGTATACTGAGGCAGGATCTCTCACAAGCCCAGAGCTTGGTGTTTTGCTAGTCTAGCTAATCAGCTTGCTCAGAGGATCCCCTGTATCTGCCTCCTGAGTGCCGGGATTACAAACAGACAACGTGGCCCACCCAGATTTGATGTGTGCTCTGGAAATCCAAACTCTGGTCTTCATGGTTGGGCACCAAGTACTTGCTTTACCTGCTGAAATACCTCCCCAGCCTCCAACTCTTGGCTTTCTTAGGAATGGATTCCTGTTCCCCAGAGTCCTGCAAGTGGTTGGAGGCCAGTATTCATTCCATTTGAGTAGTATATCTACAAGGCACCAAAGCCTTGGGATGCATTCTGCTTGTTCAGCAATTACCTACAGGAACCCACTGTGGAATGTACCCAACGCTACATCAAGTGCTGGAGCAAGATCAGGGACACCACTGGTCCCCATGAACCAGTCTGAGGGCAGGCTTCATAAAAGAGAGGACGACACGATGCCCAGTGGTAAAGGTATGAGGTAGGGTTTGCCAGAGAATGGGGAGAAACAGGCAGAAAACATTCCAGGCCAAAGATTTGGTTCATACCAAAGCAAGAGGTCAAAACAAGCCTGTGCACGTTCCCTGTTGTCTGGAAAGAGGAAATAAAGGCAGAATGCTCCAGAGTTCCCTGAACATAGGACCAACTGCTGCTATGCGAAGATGGCAACGCCCACTCCCATAACTACCTGGGCCACGTTCTCCATCTATCCAGAGTGAGAAGCACAGAACAGCTTCGGGGGGAAGGCACTGGGGCTGGTGTGACAGGGACCATGAGGGACCATAAGGCCCTGGCCTTAAAGTCTGAAGTTTCCCGAGCCAATAGAACTTCTGCAAGCCCAGAACATGTGCTGAGCTTCCAGTGAACAGGAGCTCTCTTTGAGAATCACTTGGACAGGGACGCTGCTGGGCCAGGAAGCACCAATTCATAGTGTATGTATGGGTGTCCTGTGTTCTGTCTGCTGTGAGGGAAGGGGTGTCCTCTTTCACACACTTCCACTGTCCTGACCTGTATTTGTGTACAGATACACCTATACACAAATAAGGCCAGTCACATCTGCAGTGGGTCATCTCTTCCCTACAGGGGGAGGAAGGTGTGATGGGAAGAGTCCGGAGAGCCAGTCTGCTGACCTCTGCCCTGCGGCCTTCTAGGACCTCTCAACCCTCTGATGTCTTGTCTGGTCACCAGGCAGCCCTCCTTCAGCCCCCCTTTCTGTCTGCAGCTGCAGGGACTGAGTGGCAGGAAGATTTAACCTGGGATCTCTAGGCTGCGGACCCTCAGCCGGTCATGGCCACTCATTCCCCTGGTGAGGTGGCCGTCCACTCATGAGTGCCTAGTCAAGAAAAGGGTAGGAAAGCCCCACTGGGGAATTCTGGGGAATGGCTCATTGGAGCTCACTGGCCAGCAGCCTAGATGAATCAGAGATCCAGGATCAGGGAGAGATCCTGTCTCTAAGGTGGAGAGCGATGGAAGACACGTTTAGTATCAACCTCGGGCTTCCATGTGCAAACATGTGCATATGCATACATACAGACATACACATGTACAAGCACTTGCACAAACACAGGCACGCACATGCATATCCATGCATGCACCCATACACATGCACAGGCACACACGCACATGTGCGCACACACGCACATACACAAATGGGCACACTAAATCAAAAGGAAAGAGGCATTGATACTTAATTGCTGCACTGTGTATGTCTGAAATATTATCCTTTTTCTATGGAATACATACACTCTATGCAATGGTCCCCATAAACTCACACACAGAACACTTAATTCCTAGTTGGTAGCACTACTTCGGAATGTTTCTGGAAACTTTTTCAAGTGGAGCCTCTTTGGAAGAAGCAGGTCCCGGAGGGCTTGTGTTGGAAGGGTACAGCTGACCCACAATCACTTCCCCACTCTGCCTCTGCCTGTGTCCCATCTGCTGTGAGGTAAAGGGTGTCCTCTTTCACACACTTCCACTGTCCCGACACTTTGTCTGTGCACACAGGACCAGCTCCCCACAGCCCGAAGACCCTTGATGGCATAAATCGAAAATCTTTCCTCCTCCAAGCTCTTCTCTCGGTTATTCTGGTCGCCGTCATATAAACGTAACTAATAGAAGCTGTGGCGACCAGATCCGTTGAGCTACTGAATCAAGCAGCCTCAGCATTCCTTCACTTCAGGACTTTCCACCCTGGACATGAGTAAGCTTTTGTCATTCTCACAGGTATCTGAGTTAGGGGTAAGGGGCAGGAAACCACCCTCTGCCCAAGTCAGACTAAAGGCAAGGACCCTGGTGCTGCTGCTGTATGAAGAGCTGAATTGCTTGTGTAATGTGGGGCCACTGGAGTTGGGGCAAAGAGAGTCTTAAAGTCCTCAGTCATCGCCACAGGGGACAAGAAATGACAGAACATCCAGAGGAAGAGCTGATGAGGTCCGCTTTAAAGGCCAGCCCAAGCCCAAGCCACCTCCCATGGGTCCTGCCTGTAGGTCCCTTACCGTTATTGTACGCCAAGGCCTGGTCAATGAAGTCCGCGGCCCTTTCAAAGTAGGCGCTGAGGTTGAACTCCTGCGTATCATTGGCCTTGATGCCCAAGTAGATGATGCCGGAATCCTTGTAAAAGTTGGCATTGGTGTTGACGTGCATGAAGGACCTGCCCTCGGCAGCATTCAGGACGTGGGTGATGCCCAATTTCTGCAGCTGGGAGATGTCCTGAGCCACAGACCTGGAGGGGAGGCAGTGGCAGAAAATGAAGAGACAGCCCTGCATGAGGAAGAACCTGAGCCTCTTGGCAAAGCAAGGAGACTGTACCTGCTGTCCCCTGTGCCTCCTCCTGCCTCATCTCATGACCTCTCCCCTCACCCCAGCCATATCCAGTTACCGGCAGCTTCCCCAAATAGACTTGTGGTTCCAGGCCCATGCTGTCCCCTCCGCTACCTCTGTGTAGGTATCGCCTCTGTGGGGTTTCCCCAGCTCCTTCCAGTGTGTGTGGCATCACAGTTCCTATACTGTGATGATGGGATAGACAAGCTGTCGCCACGCACGGTAGCACAGACCTGTAATTCTAGCACTCAGGAGGCCATGGGAAAAGGATCAGGAGTTTGAGGCTAGCCCAGATTCAAATAACAAAACAAAAGAAATATAGACCCTGGAGTCTGAACCCAGCCCTGCCATTTACCAGCCAGGCAACCTTAAGCAAGCCACTTAACCTTTCTGTGCCTCAGTTTTCCTCTCTGTTAAATGGGGATAACAGTGCCAACTTGGGTAGTCCTGGGTGTTACAGGGGGCTGTTCTCTTGACAGAACTTGACTTTGTGGTGTTTATATCCCATGCCAGGGTCACGCTTATCTGTTCAGGGCTTCAGTCTGTGAGTCCCTTGGGTGGTCTGTCCCCTCAGTACCTACTACCGTGCCTGACACATGGTATTAACAAATGTATGGTGAATGAGTGAAGAATGAAACTGTCATATGAAATATGACAGGTTCCTTGAAAGAGCAGTCCTGCTATTCTTTATTGGCTACATTTCTGGGGCTTTCTGGAATGGCTTAGCACTTAAGGAGCAAGTAGCACCCCGCCCCCCCAAATGATGGGAGTTAGAAGGTATCTTGACTGAATGGTCAAAGAGGTGCTCCTCCACTTCCTCTCACAACATCCCAATTTAAGCAGGAGTTTGTACTTGACAAAGTAATGTCTCCTGCACGGTCCTGTCTGCCTGTTAGGGCAGCCTGAAAGAGAGGACAGGACTGTCCCCAGTGAACAGAGCTGAAACCCTGCAGGATAGGACAGGCAGGGGATACACACGTGCTCACATAGGCTGCTGAGTCAGGGCTGGGAGGCACGCTTTCTCCAGACATTCAGCCATGCTCTGCCTCCTACTTGCCTCTGCTCCTCACACCCCCACATCACCTATAAAAACCCAGCGATCGGAAATGCAGCTCACACGGACTCCCTCACTGCCCTGAGAGGAAGTGGCTGAAGCCCTTTTGTCCAGGAGCTCCGGGTGGGTGAGGAAGCCCACTTCTTGGCACTAGGTACACAGTGGATCCTCCCAGCTCTGCACCCCCCACATCAAGGTCAGATTTGCATAGAGGACAAAGAATGGGTTTTCCATGGCAGCCATCATACCTGCCACTATGGCTACCACCAGCCTAGAGAAGCTGCTACAGACAACTGCAACATACTGTCCCCCAGGAAGCAGGCTCCTGAGACTGTCAAGACTCCTGGCTACTTGGGTAGTTGGAGTAGGGAGGGGTGGGAGGGGTTCCCTAGGACTTTGCAGTGACTGAGCCTCAAGACTGACCCTGTGAGTCTGTTCAGCCATTCACAATGCTGACAGAATACAGAACAGTGTGCCCATGCATCTTCTTTCCCTAACACCAATCCAACAGTCAATAAATACACCATTATCATTACCACCGCCATTACTAGTGAATGAACGTCACGGGGTGTGTGACACACCGAAGGTGCTCCAGATGGAATGAGTGATGCAGTGCATGCAAGCTGTCCCCAAGTGTCTGGGACCTGCCATGTGAATCCCCTCTGGTTCCACTGCAGGTTAAGCAGCAGGTCCTAGGTGCAGGACAGGAAACACACACACACACACACACACACACACACACACACACACACACACACCTAAGACATTGAAAAGTCCTCACACCCCTCAACCACCCCAGGTCACCACTTCCTACTGTGTGAATATGAGAGGAACGCTTGGTTATCAGTTTTGAAAAGTAGTCCTTGAACTGGACCCACAGAGCTTATGACTTTGATAAATGGGTCTTCACACTCATGAAACTCCAGCGTGGGCCTTCCCCCAATGTGGGTCACACCAGCCTTTCCTTCGGTGTTAACACTGATTCTCTCCCACTGCTGGGAAATTCTTATTAAGAGTATGACTAAAAAAAATTTTTTGAAGGACGCACAAGAGATCAATAATATGCACATTTCCTGGCGGTGCGATTAAGAGGAATTTTCCGATGACTCAGGTCTTCTATGGAGTTTAACATTTAAATGATCTATCCCATCTAAGTCAAACCCTATCTGGAGAAGCCAGGAAAGCCATGGCTCAGCTACTTCCTATTTTAGGGTATTTTAGAGTATTTGGATTTCCTGACACCGACAGGAAAAACCTCCACACCCAGATTGTAACGTCATCCCGTTGCCATGGCAACGAAGGCAGACATTCCACGGTGACCTCACTGCAGAGCTAGGCAGCTGTCACATGACGCGCGGCCAAGAGACAGCCCTGCCACCTGTTAAGAGATCGTGGTAGCCTCGACCCCGCCTAAGCCGAAGCCAGAGTGGGTGATGGCCGAGGGCAGGGCCGGGCACCTTGGTGTCTCAGGGCGTGCAGGGACCAGCTCTTCGGCTTCACGCGCGGGGAGTGGCTGTCGACTCCAGCCCGGTCCCCAGCTCTCCCCCTCCGGTTCTTGCTCTTAGGTCGGGGACCGCGCCCAGGTTCCCCGCCCCCATCCACGCCCTTGGACCCCACTCCAGCCCCCGAGTGGGCGGGGCGCCCGGGGAGCTGCTGCCGAGTCGGCCCTCGGGGAGACTCACGCGTTGCCCACGTAGACCCTCGGGACGACCTCGTTGCAGGGCTGGCTCGGGAGGCTGTAGCAGCCGCTGCCGTCCGAGAGCAGGTCGTTGAGATCTTGCACCGAGAGATCGAACGAGCCGGACATGGCGGCGGCGGGGCCCTGCACGCCGGGGCAGGAGCGAGCCAGGGGGAGAAGCCGGGTCAGCGGGGCGGGGCTGCCCAACCAAACCTCCCCGTCCCGCCCCGGAGGCGGGCCCGCCGGGTGCCTGAAGCTGCGGGCGCGGCGCGGCGCGGCGTTGCGCTGCGCTGCGCAGAGGACACGCGCGGCTGGCCCACGCGCCGCAGGACCCCTGGGGCGCGTCCCTGACCGAGATATCGTCACTCCGGTGTCGCCAGTCCTCTCTCACCCTAGCAAAGGCAGGGGAGCGCAGGCACTTCCTTTACTGGACCCGATGCAGGACGCCCGGGGTATACCTGGTGTAGCTCTTTTGGGATAACGAGGACCCCTGGGGTTTGCTGTGAACCCTTCTGGCTGCAAACCAGCCGCGTTGGCATCCATTCCCTCACCCCAAATAGACACATATCGTAACATATCTTCCCATTACACACACCTGCTGAACGAATCCCCCACTCCAGGAGATGGATCCTTACCCAAGGTCACAGGGAAGAGCCCTACGCTGGGACACTTCTTTCAATGTTCGTTATGAATCAGCATTGAGCTTTTAAAGCTGGGGCTATAGGTCGCCAGCATTGGCCTCTGACCCCGGGGGATTACTTAATCTTAGCCTGTTTGCTGGCGAGGCAAAGGGAGGAGGGGGTTATGGTGTCACAATAATAGTTTGAGCAGCTATAATTTTAGAGATCCGAAGTGTGTACAAATCTGTAACTTTAGAGTGTAAACACAATGCAAGTGGAAAATTCTCACACCTGACCTGTGACGGATGACAGACAAAACACAGGTGCACTGAAAATTACTATAGAGAATTATATTCAGGATACATTTTTATATGTGAAGCATCAATGAATTTCATGTTTAGACTTGGATTCATTCCCTAAATACCTCGTTATATATATTAAGATATTCTAAAATCCTAAACACTTCTGTCCCGAGCACTGCAGTAAAGAATATGCAATACCTAACTTCTAAGGATTGCTGGAAAGACTCCAGAAACATTCGAGGGGCTGAGAAGGTTCCTGGGCTGTTAAGGTACCTCGCATGCACAAAACCCTAGTTCAGTTCCCAGCACTGAATAAACAGGCATAGTGGTACCAGAAGCACTTATCAGTGACTGCTTTGAGCGCTCACTGGGGCTGCGCGCAACGTTAAGGCGCCCTGGGCTAGCCGGGAGGTAATTCGTGTAGGACGCCCTGGGCTAGCGGGGAGATAATTCGTCCTTTACAGAACTTCCTGGAGCCGCTGCCATGCCACTACGAGCCACATGGTGTCAGTAGCAGATCCTCTCCTGCCTTTCTATCCAAGGGCAAAGAGCACAGCAGCTTACTTTGGGGGGGGGGGGGGTCGAGACAGGGTTTCTCTGTGTAGTTTTGGTGCCTGTCCTGGAATTCGCTCTGTAGACCAGGCTGGCCTCGAACTCACAGAGATCCGCCTGCCTCTGCCTCCCAAGTACCACCACTGCCCGGCTTACAGTAGCTTACTTTAATCAAAGCGTCTCTCAGTTGCCATGGAAAATGACAGAGTCCCTAACTCCAAAGCGGTAAATACAGTGTCTGGAATCCAGGAATCCACACCCTGAGTCTGACTCCGCCACTCACTAAGGTTTGTTTTCTTTTATGTTTTTGATTTTTACTTCACACTTAAGTTTTTTGAGATGGGGGTTTCATTGTAGCCCAAGCTAGCTTTGAATTTTCTATATAACCAAGGATAACTTTGAACTTGATCCTCCCTCCATGTCTCAGAGTGCTAGGATTAGAAGTGTTTGCTACCACATCCTGTTACACTGACCCAGGTCTTAAGCGTTTCACTCCCCACGAAAGCTGATGGTCTCACATCTTCAAGGGAAACCTTACAGGAGACTCTGGCTTCTTAGCTCATAGCTCAAAGGATGTGATGAGGGCTGGAATTCCTCTTTCCCTGGGTGTCTGCCTGTGCTAGCTAGCCAGGGCCCTCCACACCAGACATTTCCAGCCTTGCAACATCAACTTTCCAGACGGGTGGGGAGCTTCAAAGCCCGCTTCCCTTCATCTTGACGTGGACCTGATTAGCACAAAACCGAAAGTCCAGCACAGAACTGTAACTGCTTGAGGGGAGAGAGGGGTGCTACTTACCCTAATCCAGTCGTAACACAGGGCATATAAGTACCGGATTATTCCGCACCCCATCAACATACAGAAATTTTATCTCAACTTAAAAATTTGTAGGTGCCCAGAGACAGCTAGGCATGCTCTTCTCCTGTTCCTCCACTGAGATTTGTCCCTGATGTCACAACTGGGTATCTATGACACCCTGTCATAGGGACAGCTAAGTGCCTCACAGAGGAGTCAAGGTGTCTCATTTCTGAAGTGAGACTAGGAGGAGAAAATGAACAATTCCCTGGATTACCTGGCCTACCCTGTTATCGTCTCTAATCATAGGCAAAGCACAACCTTCAGGAAGAAACTGGACTTTGGCCATTACATATTACACAAGAATAGAGTACAAATTGGTATGTGGGCAGGTGGGGTGGGCATCGCTGTTTGAAGCTCTAAAAGGATCCACCGTAGAGGTGGTGCCAGGAGACTACACTAGCCCTGGCTTTGGGGTGATATGGCCTTATCTGCCTGAGTTTGGCCAAGAGGGCATGCTGATCAGTGACAAAATTTACTTTCTACCTGAGTGTCTGTGTGCGAGAAAGAAGCAATGTTTAAACTTTTCAGAGCCAAAGTTAGAGAATGTGAGTGCAGTGCCCAATAGACTATCTAGTAATGCTGGGAAGGGATGGAAAAAAAATGTTATTTCATTAGATTGAAAGGAAATTTATCTCTATGAATTTTGAGATGGGCTCACGTAGCCAAGGTGGGCCAGGAGCTGACTGAGAGTCAAGGATGACCTTGAACACCTGGTTGTCCGGCTTCCACCTCTGGAATGCTGGGATTACAGGCCTGCATGTCACCACTTCGGTTTAGACAATGGGGTGGGGGTGGGGGTGGAATCAAACCCGGGGTCTCTGGTGTGCTGAGCGGCTGGCACTCTTGACCGAGCTGCTCCCCTGCCCATCTTTGGGTAGCCCTCACTACGAAGCCATCTCAAATTCTCCAGAGATGTCAAGAGGGGAAAATTAAACCTAATTGAAGTTGCTAGACTGGATCTCCATCAGAACTCAAAAGCGGAATGTTCAGCGGTTGGGGTCGGGTGGCCTGGTAGTTTCCTAAAGCTGTTAGGATCCTGAACTATAATGATGCTCTTTGTCCTCCAGTGAAGCCTGCTGTCGATACCAAACCTCCAGTGGCGCACACACATCACATTTTAAAATTGAGCAAACTCCAGGTATTTTACTGAATTTTTAAAAAAATCTTTGTTCTAAAGAGACCCAATTTCTGGAGCCTTCTAAATACCCACCGAACTAAAGATTCATTAGCACTCCTCCCCTGCTATTCACCCCCAGTTTCCCCAAGCTCTGCACCAGGCTCCACCAGGGCTCTCGGTGTGGCCCCTTTTCCTCCAAGTCCCAGAGGAAGGTGACTGGGGTGAGGCACTGTGTGGAGGCAGCACAGTGGTGACGTCACCACGGCGGGGTTTCTTGCCAGGGTGAACAAAAGAGAATTGACAAAATCGAATATGAAAATAAACAACTATGCCAGAAAATCGCCAACGCCCATCGCGGCCCCGCCAAGGTGGACTGCTGGAATGAGTATCTTTCGAAAAGGTAGTGTTCTCTCTCTCTCTCCGCATTTCACTCTCAGGAAACGCAACCTTCCCTTTGGGTTTGAGCCAAGGAAACGCAACCTCCCCTTTGGGTTTGAGCCAGAGAGGGTTACTCAAAGGATGTTCTTATGGAGAGAAGCAAGAGACCACGCTACAAGATTGACAGCTTCCCTGAAAGCAGGAACCTTTCCCCAGAGTTCAAGTCTACCTTTGCTGTCCTTTAAGAGAGTCCCCCTAGCTCTCCTCAGAGCTTGTCCCAAGCACACACGTGTGTACCTCTGCAGAATGCTCACATGTAGACTTGGTTCAGGTGCAAGGCAGTGAGCAACAGTTTGTTTCTTAGTTCTGGAGACTGGGGAATCCAGAGATAGAGGGAGGCACCAGTGGATTCTGGGTTGGCTTGGTGTGGAGGCTGTTTGCTTTCTTCAGAGACAGCCATCTTTGCATTGGAACCTCATGGCAGAGGGGCAGGAGTTTGCTCCCCCAATTTCTTTTCTTTCTTTTCTTTTTTTTTTTTTTTTTTTTCCGAGACAGGTTTTCTCTGTGTAGTTTGGTGCCTTTCCTGGATCTTGCTTTGTAGACCAGGCTGGCCTTGAACTCACAGAGATCCGCCTGGCTCTGCCTCCTGAGTACTGGGATTAAAGGCATGAGCCACTACCACCCATCCCCCCAACTTCTTTTATGAGGGTGTTAATCCCATCCTCAAAACCTCACCTCTTAACATCACCTTGAGAGTTAGCAGTCAAGCATATGGATTTTGGGGGATCCACAATCTGATTAGATTTAGCATCATAACCAAGACTATGCTATGACACTCCAACAATCAGTTCCACGAAAACCCTTGACCAAGTGCTACACGCTAGGTGCCTCCAGCAATAGAGAAATGAGATAAGGAACATTATTTCCCAACCCCAAACACTTGCAATCTAAGATGTAATGTTTGTAAAAACCCTACTACAGCAGTGTGATAAGGGGTAGGAAAGCGTACACCAGGGAATGGTGGCATGTATGTGTAGAGGGAGGAGAGGGGAAGGCAGAATTCCTATATCTACCAGGAGATCTCAAACAAAACTGAAAGTCAAGGGTAGGGAGATAAACCGAAACTTGACTCCAGGCATGTATGCATTATCCATAGGGAGCCTTCCATGCTTATATAAACCAAGTTTCCAGTCCTGGTTTCACATTATATAATCCTTGGTAAATGTTAACAACATGCTGAGCTCATGAGCATTTTGTCAGAAACCTAGATGAACACATTTGTGTCTTTCCACACATCTGTATTTATCAATAATAAATTCACAAGTCCTGAGCTATCGTTGAGAGCAATTTGACAAACACTGCCACTTTGTTTTTGAATCACCCTGGCTGAGATCA